TTTTTTTTTTTTTGTCTCTATTTGCCTTCTGCAGTGAATTCATCATTTTTCATTTATTTGTTTTATCTCAGGGGAAGGCCTTTCAGCCTCCCGCCACTCTTTGCGAACAGGTCTGTCTGCCTCAAACCTTTCATTGAGAGGAGAATCGCCTTTATCTCTTCTTCTCAGTCATCTTCTTCCTTCTTCAAGAGCTGGAACCCCGGCAGGCTCGAGGTGTACAACCCCAGTACCCACCCCTCAGAACAGCCCTCCTTCCAGCCCTAGCACCCGTCGCCTGACTTCCAGAAGTTCCCAACAGAGTCAGCTTCAGGTCCCAGAACTACTGGTTTCACCTGCCAGTGATGACATTCCCACAGTAGTAATTCATCCGCCAGAGGAAGACTTAGAAGCACTGAAAGGCCAGGAGCAGAAGAATGAGGAAAATGTTGACTTAATTCCAGGCAACTATCCAAAAATCTTCCATGTGTGGTGCTTTCTGCCTCTGGATCACTTGCACTTGGAATGCCTTTCAGCACATAGCTTGAGCAGCATCTGTAGATAATGCTTACAATTTATTTTGACTTCTGCATGTTTTTTTCTTTATAGTGTATTGTTGAAGAGAATAGAATTATTAAAATTTAAGCTCTGAAAGAGTACAAAGAAGACTACGCATACATTTAAGCCCATTCACAAATTTTCACTAAGATTTTAGATATGAAAGCATTTGAATGGTTCAGAAAAGCATAGATATTTTTTATAATTAATATTTTCATTTGCCATGGATTTACTTTAGAATGGTGGCTTCTCTTATTGTGTATTCACTCATAAGGTGAATGAACGCATATATGTACGTTAATAATGAGGTGATATGCCTTTTTCCTGATGCTTTTCTCCAAAGAATGTAGTACATGTTAGCCTTTTTAACAAAGATAGTCATCAGAGAACTTGTCTTCTTAGAGGCAAAAATGAGAAAAAGAACATTCAATCCTGATTGCCTGGAATCATTATTTCAAACTGGTATTTATATTTTGGATTAGAATTTAATTGCTCTTTGGCTCGGCGCCTATGGCTCAAGTGGCTAAGGTGCTAGCCACATACACCTAAGGTGGCAGGTTCGAATCCAGCCCGGGCCCACCAAACAACAATGACAGCTGCAACCAAAAAATAGCTGGGTGTTGTGGCGGGCGCCTGTGGTCCCAGCTACTTGGGAGGCTGAGGCAAGAGACTCGCTCGAACCCAGGAGTTGGAGATTGCTGTGAGCTGTGATGCTACAGCACTCTACCCAGGGGGACAACTTGAGGCTCTGTCTCAAAAAAAAAGAATTTAATTGCTCTTTATTTAAGGCCGTGCCTATCTTTAATCCAAATGTACTTCAAAATTTTTAGGGTAAGAACTCCTATAGTTATGGCTAGAAGGAAAAAAAACCATTTATATATGTGTGTGTGTGTGTGTGTGTGTGTACATATATTACACACACATACACAAAGTAGAACCTCTGTAAGTTGATCACCCAAGAGACGGTAACAAACTGGTCAGCATACAGAGGTGATCAACATAAGGAACTAGGCCTACTGTACTGATACATACATGTGGTGCATGTCTGGAAAATTACATCAGCTTAATGACGTGGTTAATGTAGGGAAGTGGCCAACTATGGAGGTAGGGTCTCCAATGTATTCGTGTGTGTGTGCGTGCGTGTGTGTATGTGCATTTTTTTTTCTTTCTTTCTTTTTTTTTTTTTTTTGGGGGATAGAGTCTCACTCTGTTATTTAGAGTGCAGTGTCATTATCATGGCTTGCTGCAACCTTAAACTCTTTCTGTACTCAAGGGATCCTCCTTCCTCAGCCTCCCAAGTTGCTGGGACGATAGTGTGCCACCATACCCAGCTAAGTTTTCTATATTTTATAGAGACAGAGTTTTTCTTGCTCTTGCTCAAGTTGGTCTTGAACTTCTGACCTCATGCAGTCTTCCTCCCTTGGCCTCCCAGAGTACCAGGATTACAGGCATGAACCACCATTTCTGGCCTAGAATATATTTTTATATATGAATTAGAAAAACTATTTTATCAGTGGATAAAAGGTTTAGAACTTTAAGGGCTATAAATTATGATAATTTGGTTCTTATATATTAAGTATATATTTATACACATGTCTTTAATACTAATTTTGATAAAGTAAGTATGTTTTAGTGACTTATTGATATTTTATCTAGAGCTCATTGTGACATATATTAACATTAGTGATTATAATCACTTAAGTATTAGTCACACTTTTCTAAAATACTGATAATATCTAATACTTCAGTGGTAGTTGAGTCATTAATCTATTTGTGCATATACATTTTTGTAAGTTAGTTGTTAGAAAAGTTAGAACTTCCCTGAGTTATACATCAGGAAAGGGATAGTCTCAATCAGGGGTGTCCAACCTGGGGGCTGTGAGCTGCATGCTGATTTTGTGAGGACTTTTTTTTTTGCTTATTTGTGGTATGAAAAGTATGCATAAACTTTTTTTTTTTTTTTTTTGCTCATAAGCTTTCATTAAAGTTTGTATATTTAATGTGTGGCCCAAGACAACTCTAATTCTTCTAGTGTATGGCCCAGGAAAAAAAAAAAGGTTGGACACCCTTGGTAAATCCTCTACAAATTCTCTATTTTTATCATCCTATAAAAAAAAATCCATCTCTCTATTGGCATTATTTATATATATCAACTGTATTTAATCAAAGCTTATTTTAGTTGTAAAAAGGATAGATACGCTTCTAAAAGTACAAATGCAAGTTTGTGGTGTCATAGTTATAGCTACCATTGTTTTATAGTTTGTTCCAGGGGTAGTGATAGATGCTTTTCAAATATATTTTTGATTACTGTAATAATTTGATGAGATTGATGTTATTTCCATTTTACAAATGAAGAAAAGATTAGAGATATTAAGATCATACTATAAATGACCAGTGCAGGGATTTGAACTCAGGTCTACTTGCAACAAAATCTATAGTTGAGTATTTCATTATGAGTTTTACCAGTCATGAAATTGATAAAGCTTAAGAATGAGATAACTGAACATAAGGAGGAAATAATTATTCAGAAAAACCAGCACTATTTTCATTAAAAATCTTTAACTGTCAAGATTTGCTATGTTTCCTTGAACAAAAATGATTTTAAAGTTGTCCCTTTAGGCCCTGTTAAAGGGATAAAAGGAGCAGTTAACTGAGAATTGAGAAACACAAGTTTTTTATTTCCCAGGAGTTTTTTTGCCATGAGATTTGTCAGCCTTTCTCAAGAGAAGAAATAGAATGGAGGGAGTTTCTAAAGATAAGAAAAAGCTCATAATTACTCTTTAAGAAGGCATCTGTATAAGGTATGTAATTATTGAGGAGAAATAGTAGGGACTGTTACACGTTACTCCCTGTTTAGATTCCCTTGGTGCTTAAAGCACCCAGTGACTCTAGTGGTGTTTCCTAGAAGTCTGATAGTGTCTCAGAGGAGGAAGGTGGCCTCACCTTTACTTTGGAGAGATACCGCTGTGGTTTTGTGTTGTCATGGAGTAATTATTTGTGCCATGATAGCAAAGAAAGTGGTATTGCCCATTAGCTGTTTGCTGGAGGATAATTATATATGTAAAAGAGGTGAACTTACTTTTAGTCATTTTTTGTTTCCAAGTCAGTGCTTCTGGACATCAGCACTGTTGACAGTTTGGGCTTCAGTAATTCTTTGCAGGGTGGCTGGGTGGGAAGGAACAGTCCTGTGCTTTATAGGGTGGTTAGCAGCATACTTGCTTCGACACTGATAGCTACCAGTATCACTCCTCCCAGGTGTGACAACCAAATCTGTCTCTAGACAGTGCCAGATGTCCCTTGGGGCCATAATCTTCTCTGGTGTGAACCACTGCTTCACCTAGCTCAGCTTTCAAACTTTTATGGACAGAAAACTCTGGTATCTTTGATTTATCTTTCTCTAGTTAGATGGTATATGAGGGGGGAAAAAAGTAAGTGGAAAATGATAGATTAACTGGAATGTGATTTTTAAAATCCCATCTTTTATTTTATTTATATATTCTTATCTATTTTTCCTTTTTCTTTCTCTCTTTTTTTTTCTTTAAATTGAGTCAAGGCCTCACCCTGTCACCCAAGCTAGAATGCAGTGGCATCATCATAGGTCACTGCAACTTCAGACTCTTGGGCTCTAGCGATCCCCCTACCTCAGCCTCCTGAGTAGCAGGGACTTACAGGCATGTCCCACCATGCCTCACTAATGTTTTTTCCTTCTCTTAAAGCAAAGTAATATGGTCCTTCTGAGTTATCTGTGTTAATGACAGAAAGCTTTATTTCTTGGTGATTTACTTATTTAATTCTGACTGCTAGTAATTTATTGTAGGAATTAACTAATGGAAAAAAACAGTTTTTCAATAGCTGAGGTTGGAAAGGACTACATAGTCATGGTACAGAACTCTCACATGTACCTGGCATGTCAATTTTGAAAAAGGGACAGGTTCAGGAGGATCAAGTTAGCCAAGTGACTTCAGGTGGGCATTCTAGCTTTGTCAGTCAGTATTGACTTTCACTTTATTTCTGCTCATTTCACTGTTTCCTTCCTTTTCCCCACTCCTTTCCCTTAATTCTCAGAGTTTAGACTATTCTGGAAAATTGCATTATGTGTTCTTATGATAATACACCCACAGGTTGAATGCGTTTAGCTGTTGGAAAGATGTAATGCTAGGTCGCAGTTGCTACCAGGGTCTTAGTGAGACTTTTAATTTTCTTGTGTGGAAATAGTAGGAAGCCACTGGAAAAAAATGCTGGTTAACTAACCCCACCCTCCTGCCCCACATTGGGCAAGGAAAAGACTCTTTGGAAGTTTAGGAACAAAGGACAAAGAAGAGGAATCTCAGTAACATTTCAGTGCCAGGTTAACATTGTAGAAAATGAGTTAAGGGTTAAAGAATAGTGTTTATTTCAGAATTCTCCAAAGAATGATCATATGGCTAAATAGATTGCAAATTGAGATTTCGGGTCACATTGACGTCCTAGTTTAGGTACTTAACAGAGAAGTGGCTACACCAGAAGTCTTCTGTCATTGAGTTAAATCAACCCAGATGACTTAGTTTCAATGTTCTCTACCTATAGTATGTTCCATTCTACTAAAATGAATCAAGTATATCTGATGTGCTTAAAATTCCAGAACTTGATTACCCCAAATTAACTTTAGAGTTTATAGGCTCTAATCACAAAACAGATTTTAACTGAATTTTCATGAGTCGCTACTATGAGTGGCACAGTTAAAACTAAAGATAGAGTTAACTGTATTTCCATGCTTTATAGTCCCTGTAATATTCAGTGTTTTAGGTGTTATTAGTCTGTATTCTTGCCCTTGAAAATCTTTGACGTTTTGAAAAAATGAGATGCATTTAGGAATAGAAGTCTATGTAATGTACTTAAATTTAAAATTTTTGAAATTTGAGCTTTTTGCAGATTTCATAGTATAAATGACTGGTCATATACTAAGTCATGTTTTTAGTTAGGTTATTGCGGTTTGTTGCTGTTGAATGTTAGTTGAAATATATACACTAACATTTGAACATATATCTCCATTTGTTACCCAATTAACTATCATTTCTAATCCAAATGAGCTAATTTTTTATGGCTTTGATCAGAGGTTTGAGTGAGTTGCTTAAAGTCACATAGATACCAGTGGCAGAGAGCATATATTTTAACACAGATTAATTGTAAAACCCTTACTGTTTGCACTTACATTGTGAAATAAACTTGTTTATTGTATTTTAAAGTTGTATTTCTTAGTAATAATGACAGTAGGCATTATAGATGAATGTTATCAAAGAGAAATGAAAATTCTTAAGGAAACTTATAATTATGTTCCATTATATTAATTCAGCCTACATTTACTTGATACCATGTACATCTCTTAAATTTTTTGAGTCACACTTAATGTGTGCAGAGAATTTAGTTGGTGTTAGCATTAAAATGGTAAAGTTAGGCATCATTAAGCTCTATGCCGTTTACATGTATATAATACATTGAAAGTATTTTGCTAAGCTGGTTATTTATAATGATAATTAGATTAAGGGCTTCTATCCTTTGCGGTTCCATACCAACTAACTTCTTTTTTCTTTTTTGCAAAAGGCCACCATTTAAAAAATCCCATTTACATTATTTTAAATATTAGGACAGATAGCTTCATTATCGCTTCAGTGTCATTCTAGTTTTGCACATATGTTACTAACAGCTGGCACTTGTTTTTTTTTTTTTAACTCCTCACATTTGCTTTTATAATAAACCATCACTTTCAGGATATGAGCAGAGTCAGGTTGTGATGGTAATTTTCTCCTTACTAATTTGGAATTTGTTCTTCAATACAGGTATTTTGGCCTCTCCTCAGTCTGCTCCAGGAAACTTGGATAATAGTAAAAGTGGAGAAATTAAAGGTAATGGAAGTGGAGGAAGCAGAGAAAATAGTACTGTTGACTTCAGCAAGGTAATTATATTATTAGCTATACATTTCCTTAATCATTCTTACTGAGAAAATAAGTAGTGGTTTGCGGCTCTGATTGTAGTAATGTTTTAGTAGACTGGTGCTTACAAATGTGATGTCGTGATATGTTAATTGAAGGTCAAAAATTGTGAGAATGGTTATAGTTAACTTCTGAGTACTTGATTAATTTTGTATGCTTGCTTGTTTTAGAAATTCTAAAAAGGAATATATGAATAATAGGATATTTTCATCTATACCTACCTTTTGAACCTAATCATTAGTTTTGGAGCTTCTGCCACTAGAAAGGTTCATTCTGGAAGCGATGTTATAGTGCTGGCAATTATCAGCCTTTCCAGGACTGTAATGTGATCCCAGAATTACTTATGGTCTTACGGTGTCAGTACTTTCTGGAATGCTACAGAGAAACATATTAGTTTTTTCCCTTGGGTAGGTAAAGGCATGGATTAAAAACAAAAACCTATCTCAGCTATGACTCTTTTAAAAAAAATTTTGGTACATGATCATTTACTTGAAATAGGGAAGAAACCCTTACTTTAATAGAGTTTAAATTACAACTGAATTTAAAGTATGCTTTATGAGTACTTAGGAACAATTATGATTCTATGTAACCATCAAAATTTTTTGGATGTTAATTTGCTGTAGGTTGGTGTTCATTATTTTAATACTCATGCATCCAGTTTAAGGCTTTTTATTAAATGTGGTTATGTCAAGCAAGATTCATTTTCCTTAAGCCTTTTATTCTATGATGTGAAGTCTGTAAGTCACATTGTATAGAAAAGGAGTTTAAATGATTTGCATTATAGCTTTGCTGATCTTAGTAACTTTAAAATTATAGAAAGCTTACTTACGTTAAGGATGTTAACTATACAGAAAGGCTATTGTACTTGTAATTCTTTTAACTTGATCACATTTTTACTGGTACTTCTGTTATTTTAGATTAGTGAAAAGTATTCTGTAACTAAATTGCGATTTATTCCTTGTTAAATAAATAAATTAATATGATTTACGTTGTAGATCTCCTCTAGACATGGCAGTTGCCGTTTATTTTTGTTCCTCTGTCACAGTTTTATTTTTTTTTACTTGGCCTATCCTTGTGTACACCTCCTTGTCTCCTGTTGGGCAGGAGTCTGCCTCCTGGCACTGTAGTTGTGGCACACTGGGTGTGGGACTCAAGAGGCCCGCTGTAAGTGCTGGTTTTATTTTTAATAGCTAGCCCTGTAAGTGGTTGTTTAGTGACTTGTGTGAAACTGCATATAAATTAAGAAGTTCATATACTTTGATACCTTGTTTGTAACCTTTTCCTTGTAATTATACACAGAAAACTAAATTTTATTATTACAGCATTATTATTTATTTATACCAACAAGGGCTATTAACTTTAGTTTTAAATAAAAATAATGAATTTTTCCCACTTATGGAAATACTGGCAAATGTCTAGATTTATTTTTTTAAGGGACTTATTTTATATTAAGTGACTAGTTCATTTCTATAATTAAATAATAGAAAATCATAAAATCAGTTTTTTTTAGCACTGTGTATAATTTCATGAGCAGTTGTTAGTTTGTGAACTATATATTTGTCTTTAATAGTTTTTAATGAATACTGCTATATTCATTGAAAATTTTCTCAAGTTTATGTTTGATAATTTAGATCTCTGAAATAGTAGCGATTGTGACAGTTAAAATAGTAGTGATTGATGAAGATGTGTTTTGCTTGCTTTTTTGTATTTGTCTATTTCATTCTTTATATTTGTGAAAACTTTGGCATTTATATGTTCATTAGATCACAAGTTTTGATTAGCAAATAGTCTCAAAAAGCATTTCTTTCCTGTTTTTCTCAAAATAGTCTTATAAATAAGTACTATGCATACTTCGTTTTTAATTATTATTTGTTTGTCAATAGGTTGACATGAATTTCATGAGAAAAATTCCTTCGGGGGCTGAGGCATCCAATGTGCTGGTAGGAGAAGTAGACTTTTTGGAAAGACCTATAATTGCATTTGTGAGACTGGCTCCTGCTGTCCTCCTTACAGGGTTGACTGAGGTCCCTGTGCCTACCAGGTAAACAGTTACTTTCAGTTAACATTCTCTTATTTTATGCCTGGAAGGCCTAAGGTGAAAAAAAGATTCTCCCAGCATATTTGAAACCTAAATATTGTTATTCACTGAATGAGTAAGCATGTTGTTTTATGATGTATTATGATCATCTTAGTGCATGAAAGAATTTTCTTCCTGAGATTAAAAAATAAAATAAACATCATCCTTTTAAGACAAACCTTGCGTTTGTACCTTCATAAAACATTTGGTTTTTTCATTAGTATAGTGATGAGTTAAAAAAAAAGAAATTTGGTATCTTAGGAAGTTTGGTTTCAAAAATACAGTGTATCATTTTAGATGTGTTATCTAATGTTCCATGGTAGACAGTGGAGTTGGAGAGTATGGAATTGAATCCTTTTCTTTTACTTTTTATGGGGATGGGATTAATTATGCTTGACTTAAATTTTCTAAGTTTTATTTGTAGAATGAGGATAACCCTTCATAGGACTGTAGTAATACTTTTGAATTAGGCAAAATGTGTTATTCTGTCCTGCCTAATATTTTCTGTTCAGTATACATTATAAGTAAAAAAATCAAACTGGGGGTAACATCCATAACAATTAGTAGGCATGCTATAAAGGATAGTCAGTATGTTAGCTGTTGACTGTAGAAAATTATAAATGAGACTGATCTTTTAAAGTATTTATTATTTTTATAATGTAAGTAAATACGAAGAATTAACAAGGGCTTGATGGAAAATATTTATTTTTCATTTATTTTACTCAGTTTCATTAATGATGCATTGTTAAGTCAGAAAAATAATTCCGTGGTTCATATGTAAATTCTATAAAGTAGGAGGATAAATACGAATATAAATGTTTTTCTGTAGTGTTAATGAGGATATAACCAAGTAGAAAATTAAGTATTTTTTATTTAGTCACTAGGATAACATGAAGTTTTTTGCAAAATTTGGAGTTGTAAATAAAAATTCTTTTTCCTTTCAAAATGGATTATTTGACTAAAATCCCATAGTCGCAACATGAGTTTTTATCCAGAACTGTAATTTGAAGGATGGTGGATTTTTTGTGTATGCTCTTTCAGTGTTTTATTTGGCAAATCTTACTTTCGAGTACTCTATGGAATTATTATTTACTTTGTTTATTAATTTACATTTTTTCAATAGAGACCAGATTTATTTGTTTTATCCAAAATGATACAGAATTTTTTTTTTTTGGAGACAGAGTCTTACTCTGTTGCTTGGGCTAGAGTGCCATGGCCTCAGCCTAGCTCACATCCACCTCAGACTCCTGGGCTCAAGCAATCTTCCTGCTTCAGCCTCCTGAGTAGCTGGGACTATAGGAATGCACTTTCATGTCTGGCTACTTTTTCTGTTTTTAGTAGAAACTGGGTTTTGCTATGTTGCTGTGGTTGATCTTGAACTCCTGCCTCACCACCATGCCCAGCCTGAAGATAGGTACTTTTAATGTACAATATTTAGTTTCTTTCTTTCCTTTTTTTTTTTTTTTTGTTGTAGTTTGGTGGGGGTTGGGTTTGAACCCGCCACCCTTGGTATATGGGGCCAGTACCCTACTCATTGAGCCACAGGTGCTGCCCAATATTTAGTTTCTTAATTACTATTTTGCCCTAAGGAAGATGTATAGTGGTAACTTGATGGAAAGTTAAGGAGGCCCTTTTTGGGTTTATGATCTGCTTTCCTTTGAGTGGAATTGCCATCTTTTTTCAGTGATTGTTGTGGGAGAATGGATGAGGTCTGAGTGTTATTTCTGTGTTTACATTTGAATGATTCTTTTAAAAAAAAGATTGTTTAGTTTTGTATATGTTGTTTGTTCATTTTCAAATCTATGTATTTTAATGTTTCTTTAGGTTTTTGTTTCTATTACTGGGTCCAGCAGGCAAGGCACCTCAGTACCATGAAATTGGAAGATCAATAGCTACTCTGATGACAGATGAGGTAATTAAAATATGCTAAAATATCTTTGAAGTAAACACTGAGTATGAAGCATATATTATATATGTTAAATCATAGTCCTTTCATAGTGAAGTTAAAAAAAAAATTGTCCTTATTGTCTGTACTGTTTTTGTTCATGTTTGCTCTTTAACTATTTGCCATTCATAAGGTCTTGAAAACCTTTTTTTTGTCAGGATCAATGGGTACTTTTTAATGTTTTTTTTTTTTTTTTTTGAGACAGAGCCTCAAGCTGTGGCCCTGGGTAGAGAACCATGGCATCACAGCTCACAGCAACCTCCAACTCCTGGGCTCAAGCAATTCTCCTGCCTCCACTTCCCAAGTAGCTGGGACTACAGGCGCCCACCACAACACCTGGCTATTTTTTGGTTGCAGCTATCATTGTTGTTTGGCGGGTCTGGGCTGGATTCAAACCCGCCAGCTCAGGTGTATGTGGCTGGTGCCTTAGCCGGTTGAGCCATAGGCGCCGAGCTGCAACCTCCAACTCTTG